AATTATTTGGATTTCATAAAACTGACACATTCAAAACCAAGCTGACAAGCAGTCTAGTGTATTAAGTGATAAATTACTGAGAAACACAATTTTTACTTCACTATAACGGTGACAGCCACATAATTCTATCCCCTTGGTGTTTTGATGAGTCAAGCCAAATTGAGCCAAATCTATAAAGCAAAATATGGAGTATATAGTTACAGTACTATCACTGGAACAATTTTTTAAATGATTTTAATTTGATTTTAAAATTATTTTAATTTAAAATAATTAGTTTATTTCAACATCTAAATCCATACAAATGGGTACAGTACTATAAATGGAATTAGGTCATTTATAGAAACATAAAATACGTTTAAAATATAAAATCAATTCATTTCCTTCTAGTACCAATTACCTATGATGGTTTTGAAATATAAACATGCAGCAATGTGTAATATATTTTTAATATTGGTTTTTATTAAAGTCTTTTGACCTAACTTAAATGTTAATGATGAAAAATAGATCATTTGCTTAAAAGCAAAACTATTAAATCTAAAATATTATGGCACAACATCAAACCACAAAGAGAACCATATTATGTTATCCCTTTTGATTTTCTGAAGAAAAATAATGGAAGTGTCCACATAGTACAGTGAAAATGAGACATTAAAATTTACTCAGGCAAAGGGAAAACAGGTTCTGTAAAATTAAATCCCTTTCTAGTACCTTGACTGTAATCCTAACTAGTCATTACATTAGTTCAATTAGCAGATTAATTTTTTTAGGGTGAAAATAAGTACAATTTATTTTGTCATCATTGCTAAAATTTCTTGTCAAATCAGACTTTGAATTGAAAGGCCCGAGTAATTTTGGCCTATCTTAAACTGTAACTATTTTAAACTTCCGTATTTTATTCCAGTAGAATTTTAAGTATACAGTGTACATTCCTCAGGTCCAGCCATATTAAATTCTGATGTTAAACAGAGAAGGGAAACCATGTGCAACTAGATTAATTTATCTCAAAGGGAAAAGAGCACATTAATAATTGAGATAATGTTTTCATAAATGTTGCAATCAAATGTGCCTTTTCACCTCTTTATTAGAAAACACATTAGGATAAAATTATCTCACTCTCATCAATAAGACCTAATTGCTGAGAAAGACTATGTTTTCTTTGCAAAACATTCAGAAAGATTTTTCCCATTATATCCAAAGAGCTAGAAATATGTCATGCACTCAAGTCTTGTTGGAATAAATGTACATAAGCAAGGCAAGTGATTATTTAATCCATCCTGTAATGTTTTTGTTTTAAACTATCTGAATTTATTATTTCTTATAGAACATATTAAAATTCTGATTTAAAAAAAAAACTGGCCAAAAAGAGATTAATAATAGCCAAATTATTAATCTCCTTAAATTACAAAAAAAAAAAAATACTGTCACTTATTGCTAAAAAAAGAAAAACTCTTAGAACTTACCATAAACACTCACAAAAGACAAAACATATTGAAGGTAACAGAATGATATTGAACTTTCTTTAAATAGCTATATTCTTAAAAACCAGGATTATACACAAAGACGTTAGTACACTTACAAACCAATCAAACAAGTTCTCCATAGCTGATGTATGTTAAATATTAAAAAGTCATTTTTCTACAAAGAAGATATAGCTTTTAATTATTAAACAAAAGAAGTAACTAAGGTGAATCTGATGTTTTCTCTAATAAGCCTTCATGTGTATAATAAAGTACAACCATACTAAAAACAATGAACTGTAAACCGAAACAAAAATCCATCATCTACTTGGAAACAGTGACGGGAAAAGATTAGCAATCCATTTATTGTACTGAAATAAAGATAAGTAACCCTGGTAGGATCCATCAGGACCTGAGTATTGAACTCTAAATATAAAGACATTTCTTCATCAGCAAGTGACTTGAAAAAAATGTGAGAAAGAAAAACGATTCCAGTTGACTTTTAAAATAAAATAGTCATGATTCAACTGCTTTTAATTTTTTTTAAAGATCTGCTTTATGTCAATGTGATATTCTGGAAGATATCTAAAAGAGTGTGTTTTTAAAATGGATAATTTTTACATGAGTCACACAATAAATAATTATTGCCAAAATTTCCTATAGACCTTCAGTGTATTCCAATTACTTATTCTTTCTAAATATAAATAATAAAATGATTAAAATTTTTCACAATTGAATTAGGTTTGAAAGGAAAGAATAAAACTTAAGGAACAATCCAACATTTAGAATCTTCTGTTATAAATATAACTTAATTCAAATAGTCACATTTCATAAAAATAATAAATCACAATGCTTAAAAATAAATGATACTAATAAAAATCTGAAACCTATTAAAGAGCTTTTTCTTACCAACAGACATCGACTCTAAGTTCCCTGGCCCCAGTCAGTTACATTTTACATGATCCCTCAAGAGACTGATACATTTCATGGCTGCATTTAATATCCCTTCAATCTCCTAAACGTGTGTTATTCTAACTGTTCCTACAGATGATAAAAACAAATAGACTGCCCTGACTTGGGAGAAGGGACCTGTAGATCATTAATGCATACACCAAGCAACTCATTTTTACAACACAGAACCACTTCTATGCATCACCACCCCCAACACACTCAGCTCACACATACAACGGGTAAAACTCACTTTATGTCTATTGAAGTATCAACAACAACAAAACCTAATTAAATTTCCCAGTCTCTTTACTAAAACAGAATTTAAACTTCATCAAGTAAAAGTAAAGGTAATAAAAGAAAGGCTCCATGTTTTTAGTTTATTATATATCAACCATGTTCCATATGCATAGTGGTCTCCTGACAACATCCCAATCATCCACAGCCATTTAGGGGGGGAAACACACACACACACACACACACACACACACACAAAAACAAAACAAAAAAAAAAACTTAAAACTATAGGATTTTTTTTTTCCTTCATGTTTATGGATTTGTCCCCTGGCACTCTAACCCCAAGTCATCAAAGGGCAATAATGTTCACTTTTTAACAGTCTCAGATAGAGCAAATCTGTACCACTGAACAACTGCTTCATAATTTCCTCAGAAAAGTATTGGCAGATCTTTAACTGTATGGTATTAGAGTACCAAATAACACCACTGGAATATGAAAACTGACCAGAAGTGTTTTTATAAACTTTAAACCACATTGGAGGTTACAATTAATTAGAAACAAAAAACAACTGGGGAATATTTTGAAACCAGATGCTTTATTTTCCACTTGTCATTTTTTTTTCTGTCCAAAAGTTCTAACGTGCCTCTAATGTACCATACCAACCCATTTTCTCCTGCCTTCTTTTCCTATAAAAATTTCTGTTAAAAAGAGAAAAAGCACTATTTGGTAAAATAAATATGCCCAACTATTTTTCCCCCCCTCATTTAGGAATCTTATTCAGAAGGACTAAATTTCACTTTAGAAGTGAAATAAAACCTGGGAGCCAGGCACAGGGCACCAGTAGATAACTGCAGGAAACTTAGCTCATACCCTATGCAAGCATGTCAAACTCATGGCTCTTGGGCTGCAGACCTCATTTAAGTAAATGAGGCCTGTGAGCCTTTAGTTTGACATGCTTGCCTTATAGTATATGTAGCTCATATCCCCTATTTGGTCATCTTGGGGTGTTGGGCTGTGAGCTCATACTCTGAGCTCCTCCCCATCCATGGAAGCTTTGGGGCACAGGCCTCAATATCCCATTGCCAACAGTTATGTAAGGGTTCTGGAGGCTGGGTCCCCTAATATTCGTTATACCCTGCTTTTCACAATACAGTATCTCCAGGGCTAACATAGTGCAGGGCAGAATGAAGGCTCAGCAAAAAATATGACTGGGTTATTGAGTCCCATGAGTTTTAGTTAGTGAATAGGAGGCAGCTCACAGTGAAAATAATCATCTTGACTGGCCACTGAGCCAAGTGTGAGGGGCAAGCTGCTGTAGAAATGACCCATTAATGGGGCCCTAAGGTCCATGCCAACTTGGCCACTGACATCTCAGAAACTTCCTTTTCTGGCTATTCCCACTCCATTATATTGCCTGGCCTCGGTCAGGCAAGATGCTAGAAGTCTTAACCTGAAGAGTAAGCATCTTGTATTTCATCAGTAACTCCAGGGGTGGGAGGTGGCTAACTAGTGGGGGCATGGCCTACAGGCTAAGGGTCTATCTCTGCAGGAGTGGACCTCAATAACCAACCAGGACGCTTTGGGAGAAAGCTTTGGTTAACCTTTTTCAAAGAGGTGGTTTATTTTTAAATAATAGTGTCAGGTAAGATTGTGCTATTGAAGCATTGTCTTCAAATGGGTTATTGTCACAAAGTGTCCCTGTGTTTTAATTTTTTATTTTCTTGAAGACTGCATCACTGTACTGCAAAGGAGAACAGAGAAGAACCAGAACTTGCGATTTCTGATTCAGAGACTACGATTTCCTCACTGCGGGAACTTTGAAAAAGTTATGAATGAAACATGTTGCAGTCTCTCAGATTCGGTGTTTACAAAATTGTTTTTATCTCACAAAAATGAGCTTGACTCTTTTCCCCCTCTTTATGCTTATGTTCCTTTTTGCCCAGTCCTCAACAACACACTGCAAGAGCTTAGAATGGGACAAAAAGTTCACCCAGCTCACACCCCCTAGAGCCATGCCCTCTGCTCCACCTCCTCAGCTGGTTTCTCTTTCTCTCAAGAAGCCAGCATATCAAAGACCAAATCCATCTCAGCTGCAACTGAAGCTCCTTAAGGGATTCCACCCTGGAAAACCTGCAGGCCCTGTGTCCCTGGCTTGGTTGCCTTTGTGTCAGGTGGAGCACCTCGCATCATTACAGCAGAGGGTGCAAACACCAGGCATATTCATGACCAGAGACGTCTATTCTCCACGATCCTAGAAAACAAGGGACGTTCTCCCAGAAGTTGCCACCCTCCAAGGGCCAGGCTCTCGGCGGCCCCAACTCTCCGGCTCCGTGAGGTAGCGGGGCCGGCAGACTTACCTCCCAGAGATGCTGCGTGTTTCTCACCGCGCCGGCCTGCACCTTCTCCGGGGGCAGGAGGACGCCCTGGAAGGGCCCGATCCAGGTGCCCTGCTGGATCCTCTGCGCCGCGCAGATGCCGTAGGCCAGGCCGGGCACGGTGCTGGTGCACAGGCACACCTCGCGCGGTAGGTCCCGCAGCCACTCGGGCACCTCGGGCGGGGGCGCGGCGGCCGCGGCGCTGCCCGTGCTCACCAGCCGGCGCAGCGAGTGCAGCGGCCCGTGCATGGGGCACTCTCCGTGGCGGTTGTCCGCGCACATGTCGCAACCTGCCGGGGACACGCGGGAGGGAGGGAGGGAAGAAGGAGGAAAGGAGAGGTTAACTCGGCAGCTCTAGCGGCCCACCCTGGGGTACATTCCCGACACCAAAGCATCCCCGCCCCAGGAGCCACCTGCAGCGGAGGGAGGTGAAGGCGCGAGGGCGCGGAGGCTCCTGGGAGCAGGGGAAGAGGGGAACCCACATCGCCTCCTTGGAATTCGCTTTACCCAAAGCCGTCTGGTATCGGGTCAGAACCCCGTCCCCCCCCTTCCCTCCTGGGACTCCTAAATGCCTTCCGAGCCCCGTGTGGGCGGCGGCGGCGCTGTGGTCTCCGCTGGACCGACGGTTCGCGCCTTCTTCTCCCTCCCGGCTTCTAGCTCTCCCCCCTCTCCCCTCCGCCTCCAGGTCCCTCAGAGCCTCCCGGCTCCCGCGAGCGAGTTCTCTCCATCAGGTGTTTCCCATGGTGTGGATTGTACCAGGAAGAAAAAGCCCGAGGCAGAAAGCCCGTCTCTGGCCGGTTTGCTATATCTAGGGGAGATTCTTACAGGGGTCGCCTGGAGACATGTGGCTCGCCGGGGATAGGAGACACTTTAAAAGTCCCAGTGCAGGGGGGCTGGGGATTGGTAAGGTATGTACACATATAATATCTTAATAAAAATTTTTAAAAGAAGAGTTACTAGTGCAGGTGGGCAGTGCCATTCTCACTCCTCTGGCCCCACGCCCCCACTCCAGCGCCCCAGGGGCAGAGCCTACGCTCCAGACACAGCCCCCACCCACACCCCGGGGTGCGCGGGGTCCCCTAGCGCCCGGCAGCGCCCACTCTCCGCGCTGCAGCCTGGCGGGCGGGGGCTGATGATGGGGGGAGGAGGAATGTTCCAGGTTAGGGGAGCCCATGCTCGCGAGCCCGCTCTTCCCAGAAGCCAAAAAGAAACAAATAGCAAATGTAACGATCGATCGGGTAATTAATGGGTCTTTAACGATCAGAACGCAGGTTCCATGGAGAGGGCCCCCGCGCCTGCCCAGAGGGTGGACGCCCTGGCCAAATGCTACCATCCTTCCTGCCTCAGACACTGCGAGTTGTTGTGAAGCTGTCTCTCTCCGATGTCCCCCAGCTCGCAGGGACCCCCCACCCCGGGGCCCGGGCTGTAGACACCCAGGGTGCTTCCACTCAAACTGGAGGTAAGAGACCCAGCGGCCGCGGGGAGCAGGGCCTGCGGTGACCGTGCTGTCGGAGCGCAGCGCCCTCCGGGTTATTAATGGGCCTGGCGGAGCCGCCGTGTCTGCGCCCCAGCCCAGCAGACCTGCCTGGGGAGACAGCCTCCTAGGCGCCCGCTGGCCAGACCCGCCCTTCCGGGCCCAGCCTCCTTGGGGAGCAGAGGCGCCCCCAGCCATGGAGCCCTGTGGCCCTGGGCCTGATAGTGAGCCAGAACCCACAGGGGAACAGTGCTGGGTGGGAGGTGGCCCTGGGGGTTTCTCTGGGCTGGGCTTTGGTCGTAGCCAGTCCTGATGGATCACACAGAGTGTGCCATCTTCATGCTGAAACAGACAAAAACAAAACAAAACAAAACAAAACAAAACGCTCAAAGAACTAGTGGCAAAGGGAGTCACTGAAGAACTTTCAAGGAAGGAACGCTTCCTCAAACCCAGCATTGTAAGGGAACCCTGGTTTTGCCATTGGCTTCACAGCCTGCTGAGGGTAGACTATGCCAGCATCCTATCTCAGGGAAAGGAAGGACCAGCTCTGCTTCTCCTGGTTCAGCTACTCCACTTCTCCCCAGAGAGCCCAGGAGATAAAAGGACCTCGGAGTGCAGCTTCTTGGAGGTGTCCCGGGCCCCTCAAGTGAAAGACAACCACCTGTTTCTGCAGGGAGTGATGTGTCCATGCCACTGGGCCAACATCACACAAAGCCCCCCTCTTCCAGCAACATAAACTAATGTAAAAAGACGTGTCCGGCTCTGCTTTTGACCTTAGGGCCTGGATAGAAGGCATTCTCATTCTCCACACATCAACCCTTCCAGAACACATGCACTTCACACACCCACTCAAGATTCTGACCGTGAAAATAAAAATTTCTAAATAAAGGGGGAATGAAAAGAAAAATAAAAGTGCCAACTATGTTCCAGGCACCTACCTATCTTAACCCAAACACTCGCCCTATTGTCCAGATGTCATGATTCCCATTTTGCAGATGAAGCAATCGAGCAGTGTAACTTGATCATGGATCAGAAACTAGAAACTGGTAGAGAAAGATTCACTATCAGGTCTGCCTGACTCCGAAGCCTCCAAAACTACAGAGATTTAGGAAGACTAATGAGAGCTGGGAGAATTTTATGTCCAAACTCAATCAATAGGATTATTTCACTGAAATCACTCTTTGGGGGACACAAAATCGCTGATTGAATTACAGACATTTCTCTCCCTCTTTCCCACACTCTTCAGTTTTGGGATAAAGAGAATAAATTGGAAAGTAAATAGATAATGCCCATAATTTTCAGTTTTGGTATCTAACTTCAGCGATTGCCTTTCATCACATTAGCAAAAATAGCTTAAAACAAATGACTAAACAAATGCAATATGTCCATAAATAAATCACCCCCAGTTTTTTATTAACTGATTGTCCCTTTCTGATTGACTCAATGAAACAGGCTGAGAAGCAAAAGTGTTTAGTACTCATTCCCCTAACAGTACATAGTAGGGATTCTGTCAAGTTCCAATAGCTCCACAACATGGAACGTCTCACCAACTATATCAGTAATAACGTAAGGAGCAAAAGTACTAACTTCAGCCACAACCCCTCCCTCCCCCCCAAACAAGCACAATCTTAATATTTGTTATACATGATACACGAGTCCTTTCTTTTAGAAGTCCTCTAAGGCTCTCTCTTCAACTGTCTCCGGGGAAGGTTGAAAAAAACTTAGTAGCATTTGCAGAGGGAAAAGCTGAGGCTCTCCCAGTACTTAGAAGATGACAATAATTAGGTCCACAGGAGAGTAGGCAAGACCAGTCCACTGTAACTAGTCCACCCAGCCTATAAATTCAACGAGTCTTCTGAATTTATAAACCACTTTGTGCTTTAGCAAAATATTCTGTCAGAAAAGTTGACCAATTGCAGCAAAATACTTTATATTCTAATGTTCTGGGTTGTTGTTGTTTTAATATACCAGCTCTGTCATTGAAAACATTTGGTTTCTGACTTATGTCTTGGAGTCCCAAAGAAGCTTAAGGATGTTTAAAACAAGTAACTTATTACTAGGGGTTGACAATGTGGCTCAAGTAGACAAACATTCTAGCAGTGTTTTCTAGACAGCATGAAAAGGTTTGAGGGAGAAGTGAGCTAAATGCCCAAATCTATCTATCTATCTATCTATCTATCTATCTATCTATCTATCTATCATCTATCTCTTTCTTTCTCTCTCTTCCTCTCTCTCACACACACACTACATATATTACACACAGCATTCCATGCCAAGCAATTCATAATACAAGCCTATTTGAATTCGTAAAGAGGGGGCAAATAAAGGTTCTTACTTTCTCTTAAAATCAGAGTAAGCTTTCTACAAGTTCATAGTTATTAATCATAAAGGGTTTTCTATAACTGTGAGAAATATTATAATATCCTCTGAAATGCCATTTTAGTATCAGAAATATAAGAAATCGTGCTCGCTTTTCTATCTTGAATAGGTCTGTAAAGGCCCTTGCTATGGGTTTCTGAATAAGGGAATGAGGTGTTACTAAGTTACAGACTCCCTCACCTCCTGGCTTCAGGAGGCCAGGCCAAGGGGAGTGAGGAGCAGACTTTCACTCTTCATTTCATAGCCTTTGTATGGTTTGGATGTTTTACTTTTGTAATTGAAAATAAATCTATATTGGGGGAGGGGAGGGCAAAACAGGCCATAGGGTATTTGTTTAGGTATGTTCATTTTTTGTTGTTTTAGGAAAGGTAATATATAAAACCTTTTGGACTTCATTTTAGTGTCTGGAGAGGCCAAAGACCTGTGTGGGTACCAAGGGAGCTTGTGCATCCCCCCCAAGCCCAGGCACAGGTAGCCTCCATTGATCCTCTGGAAAGGGAACCAAGGAGCAGGTGAAAATCTGTCCCCACTGCCTCCCCCACAAAGGCAGAGGTAACTGCAGGACTGTGAATCCTCCCCAACCACCACGGAGGCCGCTGCCCTCAGTCTTGCAGGTCCAGTGCAGTGGGGGCAGCACCCATTGATCCCTGCTTGATGGCTCTTCCCCAGGATTGCCGCCTGCTGGCAAGCCTCTAGTGTGCTCTGGGCGTGGCAGCGGAGGGAATAGTTGCTGCATTTTGGGGAGGCTGGCCTCAGGGACAGAGAGCAGTCCCAGCTGGGTAGCTGGTAACCTCCTGCACCAGAGTTCACATCCAGACAGCACTCCCTCCAGCCCTCCAGCAGCAACTGGTTAAGGGCAGCAACTGGTTATGGGCGAAGTATGCAGGAAGCAGTGGGGCTGCGACCTGGAGCCCCCCAACCTAGTGTGTGTGCATTTTGAAGGCCTCCCCCCCTTCCTACCAGCGCAGGGCTTTTTTGCAAGGCCACAGAAGTCTGGAGACCCTTCCTAGGCCTTGTTCTCCTCCCACCCAGCAGGGGTCTTCCAGGCTCCTCAGCAGATCCGGAGGCCAGTGAGTTAGCCCAGCCACCAGAAGGGAATCTGGTTGTGGCTGGGCCCTAGGGGAAGCCCAGCTGCCATCAAACCTACTGGAGGACTCTCCGGAGGCAAGTTTAAAGCTCCTGGCCAAGTTCAGATGGAGGCTTGGGTTTTCCAAGCTCAGCCTGGCTGAGGCTGGGCCGGCCAGCTGGACCCCGGGGCCAAGGGAGAGCGAGACAAAATGGGAAGGGAAAGAAAGAGGGAAAGAGGAAATGTGGATTTTACTAGTCTCCCCACACCTGTATTTATAAATTAAGTGAGAGCGCCCATGTGTGTGGTGAGAGAATATTGCATGGAGATAAACCGCGTAGCCCTGCCCCTGCGAAGCCGCCATATACCAGGCAGAGATGATGAATAGGAGGCGCGAGAAGAGATCGAAGCGGGTCTGGGCTGGCTCCACTCGCTCCTACAAAACTATAGGGCAATTAATTGTGGCTTGTCCCCTCATCCTTCATCTCCTGGTGGCACATATCGATGGAGATTACTGCTGATGGACCATTTTATCACCTTAAATAAACAGTCGCCACCTCTTCTAACCTCAATCTAATATATGGCTCTATGTTCAGTTTCAGGGCGCGAGATAAGGAATGATGTAAAATAACTAAATCATGTGTGTTATGGGGTGGGATTGGGCCTGCACACAGAAAAGAGGGGAAAGAGAAAAGGGAACTATGAAACACACAAACCACACACTAATGCCCATCCTCCCTCCCATCAGGGACCAGGTCTGGAGTCTAAGCCACTAGCTGGCCATGGGCAGCTGGGACTCACGGGTGCAGAGGGTGCCTTGTGGCAGGAAAGCTTGCTGGTGGGTGACTCGGCCCAGATGCTTTCTAAATGGGACCCATTTTTTTCCCAACTGGGTGGGAAGAGATTAGGGAATGTCAGAAAATACTCACTCTCCTCTATCTCTTACCCTGACTCCCAAACAGACAAAACAGTGTTGGGTGCAGATTTCTCTCTCTCCCCAAACTCTTGGAAAGGGTGGCACTACCAACCGGAAAGCCTTGGGCCCTTGCTGTTCCTGGTGATGTAACCTGGGTAGCAGGACTCCGCTGACCCAGGGGGGGACAGAGACCTTCTGCTGGGAAAGCTGCAGAATGTCCTGGTGCAAGAAACTGGGTGGGGTCCTTAGCGCTAGTCTGGTACTGGGGAGAGCAGCTCCCAAAAAAGGTATGCCAAGTTAACCGGCCCAGACCTGGCCATACAAACACGGATTCCAGGCACAGCCCCGGGCTCTTTCCACCTTCCAAGAGTAGTGGCAGGGTTTCAAGCAAGGCAAGGGAACCTGAGAAGAGGCCACTGACACAGCCTGAGGGAACCAGTGGCTTCAGGCAACCCAGCAGCAATGAGGGCAGTAAGACAAGAAGAGGAAGGAAGGGTCCCACCCCCCAATTATACCACACACTGCCCCACCGGACTTTACAGAGATGAAAGAAGAGACAGCTAAGAATTCAGAGCTTCGGTGGAAAGTGTGCATCAACCCTAGAATAAATGGGATACATGGAGTTGGATATCAGAAATATAATGGAACAGCTCACTCACCTAGCTTGCATGGTTTCTGCTGCTTTTAAATCTTTTTGGGGGGAGGGGGGAGAGGGAGGGAAAGAGAGCTAGAAGACCTTGCGCTATGGCCTTTGCCATAGATGCCAGTAAAGTTTCACGGTGAGACTACTGTTACTGATTCACACGCCTTAGTGGGTTGCTGATCCCAGGCAAACTGTTACTCTTCTGTGGGGATTAGATTAGTGAGGAGGTCCCTTTCCGAGCCTTGTAAGAAAAAGAGAAAAACTATACTCGATGCAAAGTAACAAAACGAAGCACTGCTGAGTGGTCTCCTCGCAGCATTCTTTTAGAAAATGGCAAAAGATGGAATGGAAAACTGGGGATCTCTCTCGGTCATAAATGAATGGGTGTTTCCCTTTGCCCTGCCTCTCACCTCCCCCACCCCCATACCCACCCAAATACACCTGGGAAGGGGGAGAGCGCTGGTTTTCACTTTCTTTCAAGTAACAAATATACCAACTTCCCCAGCCTAGGGAAACAGTCTCCCATCCTTTGCATTTCTGATCCTTGAGCCCCCAGTTAGATTAAACTCAATTACTTCCCATTTTCATCTTTGTAAAACATATCCTCTGGTTTAAAACAAATGCCTCTACTTGCCCAGAAAGGAGACTTGGTCTCCCAGCATTACACAGAGCTACGACCCCCTGCTATTTTCTTTCTCAACTGCCCTTTAATTAGGGAGCAACGTGAGGTGTGACTCTAGTAGGACAGTCGGACTTCCTTTTCCCCTCTATCTTTTCTTATGCACTTTGCATATTAAAGCGATCCATTAGACTCCAAAGGATATACCAAAAGACTAACACAATAGAATTTAAATAAATCATACTTCCTTTCCTCCGGCCATAGGGGGAAACAAGTTAGCTAGGAAATAAAGTGATTCAAAGAGCCATATATTAATTAGGGACCTAATCCAATTCTTCCTCTGGTGAGAATACAGTGAATCTCAAGACCGCATTGTAAACAGTATAGGAAGCTCCACACACAGCCAGGGCTTCGGAGCAGGCTGCCGGTGTCTTTCCCGGCACTATTTTCATTCAGAAGAGAAGCTGTGAGCTCCGTGAAGCACTGTCAGCCCACAGTGGCTACACTTACACTTAGTGGGAAGAAATGCCTTTTCCAAAGAAAAATCTTTTTATCTCACATTTAAAAAAAAAATGCTTTGTAAGCTACACATTCAAATTCAGTAGGAGAGAAATATTTTTAAAAACCCATTAAGACAATATCATTTTTAAATATTTTCTGCAACTCTGAAATGCAAGCATCTGTGGAAACCCTCCTCTAAACCAGTACTTTGCCTTCAGCTTCTATGAAGGAAAAAAGTAAAAGCAACTGCTCTTTTTGTTAGTAATAATGATCTCCATTAGACCGATTACCTCCCTCCATTATGAAAAGATTAATACAACTTTAACCACCAGGCTCATGCCTCGTGCTTTTTCATCAAAGTAATGACTTTGGGAGCCCTTCTAGTAATTATAACCAGGAGGGATTTTGCTTGTACAACGAATTAAAAAGTTCACGGAATGGTAGCCATTCTGCAAGAAGGGTCTTATTAAAAATACAATAATAACTAATGGTTGTGATCCTCACACAGACGCTAAATGAAGGAATGAAAGGAAGAAAATGCTAAGTGCTGATCTTTCAAATCCTGTATTGCTTTCCGTCTGACTCTCTAAACCTGATGTAATGTTCTTTCCCCAGGTCTTTGGATGTATATTTAGTACTGAACGCGTTAGGTGTAAACATAACACAACTTCTGAAGTTACCAAAAAGAATCGGATATAAAGCAATACACCATGCTTGGTCTTCATGGAGAGCCTTGCCTCAAAACCTCAAAATGGAACCATACTTGGGACGAGCGTTTGAAATTATGAATACAGGAACCGAAGCTGGACGAGACCTGAAGTTTAATTCGGTATTTGCTATTTAGTTGGGGGACAAGGAGAGCGAGCTTCTTAAACTAGATTACTGTCACCCCATTTTTACAAGTAGACAAGCCATCAAACGCGGCTACGGATTGCGAACGTCTGAAGGGGTCAAGGATACAAGGAGAATGTGGGGTCCGCATGGAACAACTCTGTCCTGAAGGCGGAGAATTTCTCACTAAGCAGCTGGCATTTTGCTTTTCTAAATAAATGGCAGACCTAAGAATAATGCCTGCCTGCTGGAGAAACTGTCCCAGAATTATCCAAAACTCCTAATCCCGGGAGGCCAGGCCAGCCAGCAGCGCCCGAGTCCTAGACAATCCTGCTGCCCGAAAACGAACTGACAGTTAACCCCAAGAAGCAGGACAGAGAGGAGAAGCAAGCCCTGGAACCCACGCTCCCCACAAAACTCCGTGTCCCTATCTTGTCCCCCTCCCCACCCTACTCCACCCTCAGGGCCAGGCCAGCTGGTTCTTGGGACTCCCCGTCGCCTGCTGCCTGGAGCCGGCCGTCCCGGGGCGCCGTCCCGCGGGGAGGACGAGGATCGGAAAGCCCGGGCCGGCGGGCGATTCCAGTCCTCCGGACTTGGGGCTACGGAGCAGACGATGAGCGGAAAGGGAAGAGGTAACCCCGAGGTGCCAGCCGGGAACCCCCATCCTTTCTCCCTCCTCCTCTAACGGCGGCAGGAAACCTTTGCTACTGAGCCCCCGGGAGGCGCGAGCCCGCCGCCTGGACCGGTCCGCCAGCCGGGGTCCCTCTCGTCCGTCCGACCCGCCTCCCCGACGGGCGCCCGCCCCGGACGGCGCCAGCGCCCCGGGAGCGCGGGCTGCGGCTACTACGTACGGTTGTTGGGGTCGCTGGTGTGCTGGTGGAGCGGGATGATCTCCATGCGCTGCTGGCCGTACAGGTAATAGTCCAGCTCCTCCGCGCTGCAGCGGAAGCGCGCGGCGCCCCGGCCGTCCCCGCCGCCGCCGCCGCCGCACTGGGAGGGCCCCGGGCCCGCGGCGGCGCCCAGGCACAGGTCCTTGTGGGGCAGCGGCTCCGCGGCCACGGCGGCGGCCAGGGGCGCGAACACCGGCAGCTGCGCCACGGGCAGCACCGACAGACCCGCCAGCGCGGCGGCGGCGGCGGCGGCGCAGGAGGAGGCGGAGGAGGCCGAGGTGGAGGAGGAGGAGGCCGGGGTGGAGGCGGCGGAGGAGAGCGAGGCGGGCCGCGGGCGCAGACTGTCCGGCGTGGGCTCCGCGCGCTCCGGGGGCGGCGGCGGCGGCGGCGGCTGGAGAGGCTGCGGCGCGCCCAGGGGCCCCGCGGCCCCGCCGCCCTTGAGCGGGCCGCCGCCGCCGCCGTGCGGGAAGAGGTGCTGCCAGTGCTGCAGATAGGCGGGGTCCACTTTGAGGAAGGCCGAGCCGCCGGGCTCTCCGGGCTTCAGCATGTCCGACGCCTCACGCTGGGAGGGGGCAGAGGGGCAGAGAGGAGGGTGCGTGTGAGCCGGGCTCCGGGCCTGTGGTGCGAGAGGGGCGGGCGGAACAGCTGCCGAGACCCCGGAGCGGGAGCCGCACGCAGCCCTTGGCGTTGCCGGCAGCAGCCCGCCCGGTTCGGCGGCTCCTTCCTCCCAACTCCGCCGGGGCGCAAAGTTTACTCGGAGGCCGCCGCGCCGCGCGCCGGGCGCAGGATCCACGCCGCCCGGCCTCGCAGCCGCAGGCGCCCGCCCGGCTCCCACCCCGCACCGCCCGAGCCCGGAGCCCGGAGCCGAGGCGCGTCCCTGCAGAGCTCGGCTGAGAGACGCGGCCCCCGCCCCCGGCCGGCGCCCTGAGCCCGGAGCCAACCTCGGCCGGAGTGGCGCGGCGCCCGAGCCGCTCCGGCCCCGGCGCTAGGAGGCGGGTCAGCCTCGCCCCCCGCCCCCCGCCCCAGCCCGGGACCTCCGGACACTCAGCCCCGCGGGAGCCTCGTCTTACCTGGAAACTCGGAGCCGCCGGCGGCGGGTGCGCGGGTGCGTGTGTCTCGGGAACCCCGTGCGGGAACGCGTGCACCCCGGGGCGCTACATGCCCCTGGCGGCGCGGGAGGGGAGACCCGAGGGCCGGCCGCGAGCGCGGCTACGGAGGCCGCGGGGGGCGCGGGGCGCGAGCGGAGCCGCGCGTGGGACGGAGCCGCGGCGGGCGGTTGCGCTCGGCCGGCCGCTGCGCCCGGGCTGCTTGGCTCCGCGCTCTGGCAGCCTCCCGGCTGGACACGTGGGTTTTACGACAGCACCAAACACAAGGGTGTGTGTGTGCGGGTGTGTGTGTGCGTGTGTGTGCGTGTGTGTGTGTGTGTGTGTGTGTGTGTGTGTGTGAGAGAGAGAGAGAGAGAGAGAGAGAGAGAGAGAGAGAGAGAGGAGATGGGGTGGCGGGGGAGGGGTGGGGGGAGAAGGGAAGGGGCGGGAGGCAGGCCAGGAGAACGAAGGGGAGGGAAGAAGGAAGTTCTAACTCAGCTGGGTCCACAGACTGCCCGTGCGCCTTTCCTGCACGGATGCCTCCTCCGCTGCTGTCCCACCCCCGACTTCTTCATTTTTTTGGGGGGGGGGGAGGGGGCCGTGACGTCTCCGCGCGCCCGTTGTCTCTTTCTGCCCCTGATGTGTCTTTTCTAGGTACCGCGCTCCGCCCCGATGGGAATGCGGAGGCCGGAATGCATCTCTGCTCGCGCGCGGGGGTCCGCGTCCGGGAAGCGGCTTCTGCCGGGCCGGTGAGCCCATTCCCGGGACGGGGTCTGAGCTGTGGCCGGGCTCCGTGTTCCGAGGGGTGCTGCTGGGTGCCAGCGTCCACGAACCCGCAGAGCAACTTCCCACACAAATCGGGAGGTGGGGGCTGGGCGGGTTGCACGGGGGAACGAGCCTGGGTCCCCAGCGGAGGAGACCGGCTTTGAGGAGCTGGGATACCAGAGACGGCGGGTCTCCAAGGGGCGGCGGGTCCTGCGGGGCTGGAGCCCGGCCGCCGGCCTAGGAGGCGGCTGCGGCGGACGGAGTCCCACGTGCCCAGCGCTCAGCCCACTCGCGCTCTTGTTGTCTTCCTGGGGGTCTCGCTCCTCCTCCTCCTCCTCGTTGGATCCGAGGCAAGTATCCAGAGCTCTGTCTATTACAACTGCTCCGGGACCGGCGGCAGGCTGGTCCTCCTTTGGGTGCCAGGGACTGCGGGGGTAGGGGTGAGGGGTGCATAAATCTCTAGCCCCAAAACCTAGCGGGCGGAGGGGCAGCGTGGAAGCACAGTCCCAACCCACCACCGTCCCCACCCAGCGCCTCGGTCCACGCCCGCCCATCCCATCCCCGTGCAGCCTCACACAAATGAGTACACCCCACCCCACCCCCAATTCTTCCAGGCAGTGGCAGCACTAGTTGGGCGCTTCCTCTCCCTCTCCCTCCGCTGGAGTTCTGTACACACCTCTGAGAAATGGCATTTGTCTTTGTCCAAACACACCAACTTATTTCACACCCACCGCTCTAAAGCAGTTACCAGCCACCCTGTCCTGCGCTCCGCTCGCTTCTTTCTGTCTCTCTGAGCCTGGGAAACGCGCTGTTTGGACTTGGTCCGGCTCTCACGCAAGAAGCCTCGATGCCCTTCGGAACGGGGTTGGACCGAAAATGTTTTGACTGGCGTGGTAGTGACAAGACCATCAGTCATCCCTGGACAGATGGATAGTCCCCAGGTCGAAGGCAGACCCCACGAGGGAAAGCGGACACGGAGGCGCACCGAGTGGCGGGCTCCCTGGGCCTCATAGGACGGAGAGGATGGAGCTCCGGGCGGGCCCCTTTCAATGAATCTGCTCGCAGAACTGCAGTGGCTGTTGGGCCACCAGAGAGGAGGGGCAAACTCTTTCTCTTTCTCACACTCTCCAGGTTCACTGTGGAGAAACGGAGACTATTCTGTTCTCGGAAAGACCAGGAGCACCGGAGGTGGGGGGGTAGGAGGGGAGCTTAGATTCTCGGGCAGCGCCCCGCTGCCTTCTTGTTTCTGCCCAAGCCGGCTGTTTAATGAGTGCTCGCCCCCCCCCTCCCCCCACTGTCCACTCCCAAACACACTTGAAAATCTCGGGAATTTGAGAAACTAGTGATAAGCAACTGCTTCCCAGGCCTCACGCTGTGGGAGCCCCGGGGTCCTTAGCGGACCGGTGGGTGAGCACTTCCCACGCGCCAGGCACGGGTGGGCGCCTCCAGAGCGGGTAGTCTGCCCATCCACGGGGGGAGGGGGGGGGAGGCATTATCATCAACCCCAACATGGCCGAGGGGGGCACTGAGGCTCGGCAAGGTTAGGTAGGTTACCTAGGTCACGCCACTGAGTGATGGAGGCAGACCCAAATCCTGGTCAGGGAGGCTCCGAGTACACTTTCCTGCTCACCCTAGCCAAGCCTCTGCCCGGACAGACGCCAGAGGGGCCTGGAGGCTCCCCCCCCCTTTTTTTTTTTTTTTTTTTTTTTTTTTGCTGGAGAAGAGCCTGTAGCGGAGCCTTCTTGCCCACTGTGTGGTGTTCCAGAACTGCCAGTTCCAGGACTCCCGTGGCCCCTGGCAGAAGCGGGTCTCTTGGAGACCGGAGGCTTTAGGGAGCTTGTGTGCAGGAGAGGGGCCAGAGTTCTATGGAGCCCTCAGAAGGTGGGGAATCCAGGAGCTCAGGAGTAAGGAAGCTGTGGAGGGAAGTGTAACTGGGGCCCGAGCATCCTCCACGCCTTTCCAGTGACACCCCCCCCCCACCAGACAAGAGGCAGCGGGCTTGGCCAGCGGAGTTCTGCGCTCTCTTCCCCCACTCCACCCTGCACTGCTGAGGGCTGCCTCGACGCACCCCACTCACCCCCACCCCGCAGATCCTGGGCTGGCTCGGTCACCGCCGCCCTGGCAGTCTCAGGGGTTCTTAGGAAGTGAGCCCACGGACCATCAGGACATGCACCCCTCAAACTGCTGGCCTCTTCCTTCCTTAGAGGGCGACTGCGGAAACAAATCATTTCGACCACTTAGGAAGCGATCAAACCTTTATAAAAATCCATCGCTCCCCAATCGATGAGTGAATATTTGCTGGGAATTTGTTCCAGAGGAATAAGTAAGGAGTGTGAGTGTATTGAATGCAAACGGGGGGGGGGGGGGGGGGGGAGAGACACGGTGGTGTTTTTCTTCATTGATTAATGACCTCTAAAATAAAACAAGTGGGAAGAGGTGCTGGCATCGATAAATTATCCAAATTCATCATTTTCTCCAGCAATTTCTCCCGCCCCCCCCCCCTGAAAATTATCCTAGGAAGCCCATTGTACCCTCAGCCTGGAGGGAAGGCGGGAGCTGGAGGTCAGAGCTGGGAGGGAAGGACCGGAAGGAGCAGGCGAGCAAGAAGGGGGTTGTGTCCGGGAGACCCTTTATCTGATTTCGTTTGACATACAATCTTCACGTTTGTCTTTCCTATTAATTATAGTTTTCTTTCTGATGGAGGAGGGGAACAAATGGCCGGTTGCCTTTGACAGGACTCCAATAAAGAATTCAATGGGCGCTCCTCTCTGCCCTCAGCGCTCCGCTTCTAGGTTTAAGGTCATGGGTGGCTGAGTTAATAATTCATTAATATAGACATTTATTCAGAAGGGTTCTCTGAGATCCACTCTCCCAGCCTCCTCCCAGAGATTTATTTTCCTGGGAAGTGGATGGGGGTTGGGGTGGCTGGGCTGCGGGTGAAAGGAGGGAAGAATGAGTAGAAAGAAAATGAAGAGAGAGTCTGGATACAGCTGGGAGCAACCGTTGCTTACCCACGAGTGGACAGGCGCCTCCAGCCTGCCGTCAAAAACTTGGTGGGAACATGTAGCATCCAAACTGCACAGGTTCTCTGGCCTCCAGTCGTCTTTTCTCCTACTTCTACATTTATTCATTTTCACTAATTCGCAGAGCTCTGTTCTTCCAGGCTTTAGGATCCAGGAAGAACCATGGAAGGAGGACCTTAGAGTGCAGGCAAAGGGGGAGATCCCTGGAAAGAGACTACTCTGTCCCGCCCCCTGAATTCCCAAAGGAGGAGCTTTGCAACTCGCCAGACCTGGAGCCTGAAGGAAGCTCAGCTCCTAAGGGCACAGGCAGCTTCTGGTGGACACTGGATCCCCTCAGAAAGGGACTGCGGGGGCATCAAAACAAGCCCATGCCCTCATGAATTTTACTTTGTAGGGAGTGGAAACAATAAACAAGTCATTGTCAGATGATAACAAGTACGGTGGAGAGCAACAAAAAAGGGATCAGAGGGAAAAGAGTACAGTAAGTACCGTGTTTACCCGAAAATAAGACATCCCCTGAAAATAAGATCTAGCACAACTTTGGGAGAAAAAATTAATATAAGACACTGTCTTATTTTCGGGGAAACAGGATAGGTAGAAGGTTTAAATATGGAGGTCAAGGAAGGCTTCTCTTAAAAGGTGACATTTGAATAGAGACTTACTTAAAGCAAGAG